ATATCATTTCCAGGTCAACAATCTTTAACCACATGTTCAAAGCACCGGAGTCGAAAAGAAAGAATCCAGCCAAATAAGTCAAACCAATACCCCACACAAAATTCTGGCAAACAATCTTCTAACACACACACACACACGTACGTAGCGAACTTAAAAGACAACGCATCATAAAGTATTTTTGTTAACCTTAGTGATGTGAGTGTCCAAAATTGGATATTTACAAGAGGGCATTCAGTATGTCGTTGGCGGTGAAACAAATATAAGAGTTTTCTTCAAAATCGGTATTTAACACCAAATGGTTAATAACTTATGCCTGTTTCAGACAAATTCAAATTTAAATTATGTGACACACCAACCAGCTGGTGCCAACTTCGAGAAGGCACGAGCGCGCCATTAAGTATCACCTGCCTCTAAGGAGACGTATGGTGTCAGGCAATCGTGAGAGGGCTGGTATATAAGCTAGCGGAGGAGCTGTGTGCCTCATTCTCACCTGGAAGCAACACCACCAAGATGTCTGCTGTTCAACTGCTCGTCGTCGTCCTCTTCGTGGTTGCCACATCCTGCCACGACGTAGTAAGGTGAGTTCTAGAAGAAATGAAAATACTGTTAGAATTTAAACTGGGGAAATTAAGCAATTAACACGTGTTAAGAAAGGCACTAGGCCATTCAGACACACGTGCAGAACGAACTAAATACGGTGAGGGTATCTGGCGACTATGCCGCCAGCACGCCCTATCCGCTATGTGCGATCACAGCGACAGTTGCTGCCGTTCGTAGTCCCAGCGGACTTCGACACATATTTACCTGAACACAGTGAGATATTACATGAACACCTGCGGGTAAAATCAGAGCACGAGGTGATATTCAAATAGCGCAAGTCCCCCCCCTACCCGCATAAAGTTCAACAGCATTATTGCTTAGATCAATCTATGTATATAAAGAGGTAATCCTGTGAAACATCACGAATTGATCTAGAAATCTCATCATTTAAACCGTCCAACAATTCTGACTATTTCCATCGTCAGGGCGACTGCTTGTCTGCGATTCGACAGTCGGTACTTAGTACGGTCTTCCACAAAGAGAGGGCAGGGAAGTCTTTGCATGTTACGCACGACAAATATCGTTAGAAGTACTGGCTTTTTCGATCTGGGTTTGTCAGGTGAATAAGATCAGAAAAATAAACGTGATCGCCGTCTCTCAACATTAAAGTTAACTATTTGGGCTTTTCAATAGCGTAAAGTACATGTTACCATGAAAACACACAAACAGAAAAAGGTTTTTAACAGAAGCAGAATGCAAAGTGTTAAAATCTACGATTACAGCAATCCGGCCGCTACAAAAATTTACTCAGAAAGAAAGCGAGGGGTGTTTCTCGGGTATGCCATAGTCTAATGGAGTGGAAAAGAACGCACGGAAAACCGGGACATAGCAATACAAAAACGCGCAGCTTCTGACTCTTGTGTTCTTGTTTTCTGTCTAAACAGGGTTCCTTTACAACAAGTAGTTTTTCGGGGCGCCGAAAAACACATGATTATAGCAGCTGTGGCACTTACAAGGGTCCATTTTGAATTAATAATCATACCAAACGAATATTGTACGTTTGTACTTGCGATAAAATGAAGGGAGATTTAGGCGGGGACATTCAGAGTAAATACACACACTGGCAGATAATATTGTGTACATGCTCATTCGGTTTCAAAGACGCTGTATCAACGACAAGAGTCATGTAACAATGAAATGAATTATTAGATTTTTCGGAATTAGAGAGAGAGAGACAAGAAAGAGGTCGTGGTCTATTTTAAGTTTCTTTGCCAGATTTAGACCGGAATAACTAAGCAAACTTACGAACAACGTGAAATTAACAAACACCGAAATGTGAACACATTGCAAGAATTTAGCAGCAATTCATTTGTTCTTACTCTTCGACTTTTATTTCAGATCGGACTTCTGGGGCAGATCTACCTAGGGACTCCTCCCCAAGGGTTCAGGGTGCTGATGGACACGGGTCCGTCGAGATGTGCAAGTCGACGCCGTATTACTGCAGTACGTAGCCAAAATCGATGAAACTTCGAACACAATCTTCGCAGCTCAGCGGCACGTGACGCCCCATTCTGTCACGGATAAATCTGTTGCCTCGGCAAATGCTTAAGATATTACTGATCTTTGCGATGAACATGTGTATCTTCCGGGTGGGAACTGAATACACAGACACAATGAGTTTTGAAGAAGGGCGAGTGAGCAATGCCTGGGAACCTCCACCCTCTCTCTCAACCCCAGGAACTCGAGCGAAACCCTTCCGGAACGCTGTGGCACTTACAAGGGTCCATTTTGAATTAATAATCATACCAAACGAATATTGTACGTTTGTACTTGCGATAAAATGAAGGGAGATTTAGGCGGGGACATTCAGAGTAAATACACACACTGGCAGATAATATTGTGTACATGCTCATTCGGTTTCAAAGACGCTGTATCAACGACAAGAGTCATGTAACAATGAAATGAATTATTAGATTTTTCGGAATTAGAGAGAGAGAGACAAGAAAGAGGTCGTGGTCTATTTTAAGTTTCTTTGCCAGATTTAGACCGGAATAACTAAGCAAACTTACGAACAACGTAAACACGAACCACGATTTTTCTCGGGAAATAAATTGTGAGGATGTGCGTAGAACTGACGAGGACTCCAGAGTCGGACTCTCTCTAGGTGACAGGCCCAAGTTTCTCGTTAATCCGCGTGCGTTTCTCTTGTGCTGCAGAGTACCACGACGTCTTCAGGGCGAACCTGTCAGACACGTACCACCTGGAGAAGCAGTACGGAAACATCTCCCTGTCGTACGCCGAGATAAAAGTGTACGGTCCTGTTGCCAAGGATACGCTGACAGTGAGTATGAATCATCAACCCTCGTACTCAGTTCAGAAAACCCAGGCTCCAGTTGTTAACATGTTTGCATTGCAAGTAAGAAAACGACAATTTCTTTTTGCGAAAAAAATAAATAAATTGCTCTCCTCTGCATAATCAGTGTCATAAGCTATTTCACGCAGGTGAGAAGTTTTCGCTGCGGCCATAATGTGGACTGCGGTCTTCTGAGTTGTGACGCCGTCTAATCCAACAGGTTTCGGAGAAATGCATTGCCTCAGCATTCCACCTTGGTCACCAGGTACAAGACTACAAGGCGTCACAATCTGGAAAGACAAATTTCCAACATATTTAGTTCACAAAAATGTTTCAATTTACCATGGAAGAGAATGTGACATGACAATATTATTGAAAAACGTAATTCTAGAAACATTTTCTGCAAGCACAAGCCTTCGAGAGAAAGAAAGACCACATGTAAAGCGAAACAAAAATACACAAGAAACCCACATTTTAAACATGTACGCTGTTCAGCTGTTTCACACAGCTCACAGGGCGCATACAAGTCGCAATCCATGCGTTACAGGTGGGAGGAATCCGCATCCCTGACTTCGCGTTCGTGCCAGCGAACGGTTTTTACCAAGCACCAGTTGACGGCATTTTGGGTCTGTCCTTCCAGGAAGGGTCCCAAGGCCCCTCGCGGGCCACCCCCAACAACAACTTAATCCGGGAGCCTACGTTCTCGCTGTATATCAAGAAGTGAGTAGCCTCTGCACAA